AATACTTAGATATTTAAAGGGCTATTGAAGACAGGGTCCAAGTTCACACTGATACCTAACAACTAGAAACTTCATCATGGGCTCTGCATTAGAGGGCATACAGGGGCCAGGTAATAAATGGACTCTTGGTTAAAGTTAGAGTCCACTGGGTCTGTAAGTTCACCTGGTACTCATTTCTCTGGTCCCTAAATATATAATCGAGACTGTCATATGTGGCAGTTGTTGGTGAGAGCTGTCATAGTGGGGAAGGTCCAGTGGAAGCCTGTGAAACTGCACCCCTCCCACCTAGACAGTGAATCAAAACCAGTATAACCCTAGAGATGTATGGCAGAGATTAATGCCACTCTTAAAAATGCAGGCATGGTGGTCCTTGGAATATCTCTATTTAATTTGGTCTGGTTCTTGCAGAAACCAGATGGATTCTGGAGACTATTGCTAGCTCAACCAACAGCCCTGATCGCAACTGCCCAGCCAGATGTAGTTTTTTTTGCTAGAGCAGATAATACTACATAGTCGCTGCTATGTAGTATGCACCCACTAATTTGGTGAATGTGTACTTTTCTGTCCCAGTCAGGAAAGAAGATCAGAAACACTTTGCTCCAGGGCCATGTTAACTCTTCTGCCATCTGTCATAATTTAGCTTGAAGACATCTGGACCATCTGGACACATTGTAAAACATCATACTGATTCATTACATTGATGATATCATGCTGATCTGGCAGCATGAGTAAGAGGGTGCTAGCATGCTGGAGACCTTGGTATGACACATGCACTCCAGAGGGAGGGCGATAAACTATAAAAATTCAAGTATTTGTCAACTCAGTAAAGTTTCTACACAGCCCACAGTCAGGTACATGCCAGGACATTCCCTCCAAAGTAAAAGACAAATTGCTGCATCATGCATTCATTACCACAATGAAGGAAACAAAATGACTATTAAGTCTCCTTGGGCTTTGGAGACAACACATTCTACACTTAGGAAAACTGCTCCAGCCTGTATGGAAGGTGCCAGCTTTGAGTAGGGCTCGGTGTAGAGAATGGCTCTGCAGTAGGTCCTGGCTGTAGAGCAAGCAGCAAACCCTTCTGCTTGGAATAAAAATCTCAATACACTCTATAGTATTTGAGTATCAGTAGTAGAAACAGTTATGGTATGAAGTTTATGGCAAGTTCCAGTGGAAGAATCAAAATCCAGGCACCAGAGGTTATGGAGCAAGGTCACACTATCTGCAGCAGATTATGCACCTTTTGTAAAAGAGCTCCTACCATGTTAGTGGGCCCTCATAAGAGCTGGAATGCTTGACCTTGGGATACCAAGAGCCCATGAGTCTGGAACTGCCCATCATGAGTTGGGAGCAAGTCATAAATTAAGATGGGCGCAGTAGTAATGCATCATAAGATGGTACGTCTGGGACTGAACATGAGCAGGAAGCGATAACACAGCTAGGGGCATGAGCAGTGGGTCTGGAACCCTATGGCATCCACCATGCCCCATTGTGGTATCCACTATGTAGCAGTGTTTCTCCTCAGCTCACACAAATGACCATATGGGTCTCCCACTCAACCAGCTGAAAGAGGAGGAAGAACTCACAGCTTGGTTTATTGATAGGTTGATCTGGTATGTGGGTGAAAACCAAAAGTGGATGCTGTCTGCATTATAGCCTTATTTAGGGGTGGCTGTGAAAAACGGCCACCCCTAAATAAGAGACACTGTGTGAAAGACAAATCTTCCCAATAAGCAGAGCTTCATGAGGTGCACCTGGTCATCAACTTTGTGCAAAAGGAGAAGTGGCCTAAAGTCAAAATATACATGGACTCATGGACAACGGTGCATGATCAGGGATCTGGAGGGTGAAAAACTGAAATGTCAGAGACAAGGAGGTCTGGGGAGGAGACATGTAGATGGACATATGAGAGTGGGAACAAGGTGTGAAGATTTCTTTATTGTGTATTAGTGCCCAGTGAAAGCATCTATATGGCATGGGTGCCAAATAACCAAGTGGACGAAATAACTTGACCAGTTGGCATTCACTGGCATGATAGACAAACAGATGACATGGCTACATTTGCAGAGATGGAGGCTTTGTATGGGTCAAAAAACCTGGACTCCCACTTAGGAAGGTCAATATAGTGATTGCCTGCTTTGAATGTTCGATCTGCCAGCAACAGACAGCAACACTGAGCCCCCAGAGTGGTACTCTTTCTTAAAGATAACCAGTCATTTGGTAGCAAATGGTCTACATAAAAATAGTCCTTTCATCCTGGAAGAGCCGATGATTTTTTTCACGGGAACAGATTCTGGGTAGGGGTTTGCTGGGGTCTGCCTACAGGGCCTTAGCCAGTACCACTATCAGGGCACTTACAGAATGCCTAACCTATATACATGAAACAATTTAGTATCCAACCAGAGAACCCATTTTATAGATCCAGTGGTCATGTCATATACTGTATCATCCGGAAGCTGCTGGCTAAACAGAGTGTTGGTGTGGTGTGCTGAAGGTACAGCTAAAGCACCAGCTCAGAGGCAACACCCTGAAAAGATGGGGGGGGGTACCATCCTCCAGGACATGTATAAATGTTGAATTGCAGACCTTTACATGGTACTAAGTCACCAAAAGGAAGAATACCTGGGTCCAGTAACCAAGGGGTAGAAGCAGGAGTGGCCTCCCTTACCATCACTTTCAGCGACCCACCAGGGGACCACACAGCTCTGGATTCTGTGAGGTTAGAGGTCCTAGTCTCTAATATGGGTGTATTCTAGTCACGGGATAGCAAAGATCCTACTGAACTACAAGCTGCAGCTGTCGCCTGGAAACTTTGGGCTCTGTGTGGCTAGGAACCAGCAGGCAAGAAGAGGAATCACCATCTTTTCAGGGGTAATTGATCCTGATCAGCAAGAGGAGGCATGGCTGCTGTTATATAATGTGAACAAGGAGGAATATGTATGGAACTCAGATGATCCACCGGGTGCCTCTTGGTAGCTCTTGCCTAACTACATTAGGGATGTAGTAATGAAGGCTATACAAAGATAAGGTTACTAGGAGTGGTGGTTTGGGAACCACCACCAGATGAGCCACTGAGGTCAATAGAGAGTGAGGGACGTTAGAACAATGATGAAGAGGAGGGTGGACAATGAGTATCAGTTGTGGGCATAAGACCAACTATAGCCATGGAAATGGTAGTTCATCCTCTAACCTCCCTCTTCTAAGCTTCCCCTCAGGAAGAGATGCCCACCAGAGCCCTGGAGGAGCTGCTCTCCTAATATGTTGTGAAGCGAGTCCACATGGCATACAAGGTAAACTGTGGCAGATGTAAAGATGCATCAATCAGATCCTCTTTCAAGAAAGGACTCATTCCTCCGCTTCAAGGAGTGTAGTTAGGTGACAGTCCCCAGCTGTTTGTGTCTTCAAAGTCAGCTTCAGGTTTGCATCCTATGTTTTTCTCAGGGTGGTCCCCAGTCAATGACTGAGCAAGGCCTAACCATTTCCACTTAATTGAGGGAACCTCTATAAAAACAATCTTTGCTCTGGAGCTTTAGTCCTGCTTCTGTCCTTTTTCTTTCACAGGTGTTCTCCCCCTCCCCCGGCACTCCACTCCACCAATCCCTAGCAATAAATTTTTGCATTCCTAACTTCTTTTCAGTGTCTGCTTCTGGGAGAATCTAACCACAACATATGTCTACCAGGGCCCTGAACTCAAGTTGTTCCCTGCTCCAAAATCTGGGATGTGTGACCTAACTAAACAGAACTATTTTCTCACATACAAAATTAAGACATTCCTTTTATACCTAAATTATATGATTATTATGAGAATAAAATAAATATGTGCAGGAAAATGCTATGTAATTTGAAAATCACTATGTAAACTTACAGTTTTTATTAAAAAATCTAAAGAGTTAAAGCATTTCCCAGATTACCTAACAATCCACAAAAGTTAAAAAAATTCAGATAATCGTTTTCAAGCCCTTTCAAAGCTAGTATGTGTATTTGTTTTTTCTGTAGCTTTATTTATTCCCATGGAGTAATTTATACTCAGAGATCTTGCCAGACAATCAGATAGAAAACTGAATAAAGAATTGTAGAGTACTATAGTAGCCTGTCATGGGAGTTTTGGTTTGTTTCTTTTCATTTCTAAGATAACAATTACTAAGATGGAGGAAAAAAGAAACATTGAAACAACCCTTTTGACAAAACACAGTAACCAGAGTAGGGGGGGGTGAGGGATATTTAACATATGTGTAACCACCACCCATTTTCTTTAACACTATTGCGATAGGACATCATTTTATAACTATGGATAAATATTGCAATTTCAATGTACATGTAAAAAAAATTTCCTATAAAATTCTTTTAGTGTTAACTTTTAGTATTCATACTTATCTGTAATGTATTAAAAGAGACCTAGTGATCATGTCATCACTTTTTATCAAAAAACTTTTAGAAGTAAATTTTTGAGAAAATGTGAGAAATTTGTCTATAATGTGCTATTGCTTGCTTAGATGGTGATATAGATTTGCAACAGGTTTTCTTTTTCTTTCTTCCTGCCTTTCCAAAGGTATATATCTGACTTGCATTTGAGAGCTGACAGAAGTTGTTACAAGCTTTGAAAATTTGTGGTTCCACATCCTGCCCAAAGTCCTTTTTTTTTTTTTTTTGGTCAAAGCAGATCTATAAGTCTAAAATGTCCTGCTGAGTGACAGAGTTAAAACTTTGGCTGTTTATTCAGATGTCAGGACAACACTGAGGTAAAAGTAAGTGTAGCTGACAATGCACAGTTAACCTAAATGATTTTGCATATATTTTAGAAATATGGATAAAAGTAAAAGAATGAATTACTGTTGTACTTTGCTGTGGATACAGAACACATGCAATATGTATTGGACACTAATAGGAAATAAAATGCCAATTATATATACTGGATTATAAGATCCACTAGGCAATTTTAAGAATGTGTTTCATCATAATTCAATATGAACAGCAGAATTTTTCAGATTTATGTGATTATTTTTGGCATGTGCATTCTGGGAACTCTGATAACTGAATACAACTTCAAAAGGGCTCAAGCCAGTGACCTCAAAATGAGGTTCACCGAACAGTACACAATGATGAAACCTGAAGCAATAAAACACCGATGAACTTAAATTTAAACATCACTATTTGGACATGATTGAACTTTCATTTAATTTTATTTTGTTTTGGAGTTCTGGATTGTCTCCAGACGTTATCCTTTCATATCTTAAATTGTGTCTCAAACGTGTTGGGGTAGAATCCAACAGTTAAGTTTAGCACATGGTTCGCGTAATGTTATGGAGTACTGTACTTCTTTCTGAATAGAGGACTTCTCAATCCCGACCCCCAGGGGGAACTGAGGCAAACTTACTTTTGAGAGCCTCTTTGAATGACTGGAGAAAATCGCAGTTCCTCTGCCTTTGTTTCTTTTTTCCCAAGTTTCGGAAACCACCTGCCCCGCAAGGCACACCTGTCATTCTCACCGCTTCAGCCCAGGCAGCAGGCTGGTCGCCGGCTCCTTCCCGCGGGAGGAGGAGACAGCGCGGACGGAAGAGTCTGGCGCGCGGCCGCTCGCGGGAGCGGCAGAGGAAGGCTGAGGGGCGGTGACGGCGCGCGGGTGCGCGCGCCGCCGCCGCGTCACCAGCGTGCGGCACGTGCCCGTGTTTACGTCCCTCGTGGAGCCGCCGACGTCAGCAGCCGAATGGTAACATTGTGGCGATACTGAAGCGCAGAGTTTAGGAGACGCCTCCATCCGTCAGGCAGCTCCGGACGGTTGAGAAGAGGAGAAAAGGCGGGGAGATCAGCCCGGACAAACGACGGAGACGTACACACCGCGGGCCCCGACCTCTTACCGACCTGCCTGGCGCCGCGGGATCCGCGCCTCACCTCCAGAGCGCTACAGTCGCAGCACCGCGGCCTCGCACTGGAGGCGGCCGGGGCGGGCGTGAGGCGCTGCTGCAGCACCGGGCTTGTAAACAGATCCGGCCGCACGTGACCATGTGAACTACCTGCTCCAGCAACGCGTATTGTCTTTCCCGCGAGCCGCGCCACAAAGGAGCGTGGCGGGTCTGAGTGCGGAGGGACGGGAGAGCGAGCTAGGAGAGCCGGCTAGGGCGCTAAGATGGCTGAAGGCGCCCAGCGAAGTTGAGCCGGGGGCGCGGCGCAGCCAGCCGGCGAGTCCTCGGGCGGGTAGGGCCAGCATCGCCTCCTCCGCGGCCTGGCTCCGGAGCCACCATGTCGTTCGCGCTGGAGGAGACTCTCGAGTCGGACTGGGTGGCCGTGCGGCCCCATGTGTTCGATGAGCGCGAGAAACACAAATTCGTCTTTATTGTGGCCTGGAACGAGATTGAAGGCAAGTTTGCCATAACCTGCCACAACCGGACGGCCCAGAGACAGAGAAGCAGCTCCCGGGAGCAGGCGGGGGCGCGAGGGGGCGCCGAATCTGGCGCAGCCGCGTCCGACGAGACCCGCGGGCCGGGCAGCCCGGCGGGCAAGGGGAGGCCCGAGGCCACTGCCTGTGCGACTCTGGGAAGGAGCCCCGGACCCCGTAGGAGCCCGGCCTGGGCGGAAGGCGGCTCTCCCCGGAGCGCGCGCAACCTTCGCGGAGACTCATTGTTGCGGAGTCCGGCCGGCAAAGGGGCAGAGAGCCCTCTCAGGAGCCCAGTGCGAGCCAAGGCCAGCCCGGTCCGGAGGGGATCTGAAGGCAGAGATGTGGGGGCCGCCGCTGTGGCATTCCCGCCGGCGCCCAGGGAGGCCCCAGTGACCTCGGTGCGGGTAGTGAGCGCTGGCGGGTCGGTCTCCGAGGAAATCGAAGTGCTGGAAATGGTGAGGGAAGACGAGGCGGCCCCGGCGTCCCTGGAGCTCTCGGACGCGGAGCAGCAGCCACCCGCGGTTGAGCTGGAGTCCGCGGCGGAGGAGTGCAGCTGGGCCGGGCTCTTCTCCTTCCAGGATCTGCGCTCTGTGCACCAGCAATTGTGCTCGGTGAACTCGCAGCTGGAGCCGTGCCTGCCGGTGTTCCCCGAGGAGCCTTCGGGCATGTGGACCGTGCTGTTCGGAGGCGCCCCGGAGATGACTGAGCAGGAGATAGACACTCTGTGTTACCAGCTTCAGGTCTACCTGGGCCACGGCCTAGACACCTGCGGCTGGAAGATCCTCTCCCAGGTACTCTTCACTGAGACCGATGATCCTGAAGAGTATTACGAAAGCCTTAGCGAGCTGCGGCAGAAAGGCTACGAAGAAGTGCTTCAGCGGGCCAGGAAGCGCATCCAAGAGGTAAGATCCTAGTGTGGGCTCCGGTCATCGCTTTGGGTTACTTATTACCAAAGGCTGGAGCCTCGGTCTGGGTTGTGCACAGTTGGGACACTTGTTTTTCTAGATAAGGGAAAAGGAAGACGATTGGGTTCTTATGACTCTGTCTTCCCCTTCATTCCTTTCAGTGGTAGGAAAACCATGGGTTTCCTTAATTGGCCTTCTGAAGGACCTTTGATGTCTTTAGATTTCCTCTCCCCATTTATCAGATAGATTCTATATAGTAAGATCTCTGTTTACGTCTCAGTACTGCCAATAATATTAGAGCCACTCTGAAAAAAGATAGCCTGTAAAAGAAAAAAAAAAAAAAGCTGCATGTCCCTGAAGCTCTTTCCAGCAATAACTGCCCAAGTATTAACCCTGGTGTCATTTCTTTGTGTCATGCTTATTTAGCCAAAATAGTTTGTCTTATAGAGCGAAGTTGGTCTGTTTTTACCTCCATATGTAGTTTAGCAACTTAGGCAACCTTTAAATTCATTTTTCTCCAAATGAGTGGTCTGTCCAAATGAAAAAGCACCAAGTGACAATTGGATGCATTTCACTCTTGTTTCAGGGAGAAAAAAAGGTCCTGGGCAGGAATGTTTAGTACACTTTTGTATCTGAGAGTAAAAGGAGTGCAAAAGCTCATTCAAAGTAATCTTTAAAAGGAAATATGGGGGAAAGGTTTGAGTGGGTATACATAGGGAGCTCTACAGTGCCTAAGATATGTATAATTTGAGGTCATGCCTAGTTAACAACTTCTGAAGGAACTTTATTAAAAAGTATTTTAAGATATACTTAGTTTCCCTTAGTGGACACTAACATATAATTTCTCAAAGCAATTTATTATTTTTAATATCAGTACCAGTTGAGATTGGACTTGGAGTGGGGAATGCCTCTTTTTATGGTGTTTATGTTCCTAACATTGCGTTGTCATCTGTTAACCTTACCTATATAATACTTGAATCTTGCTATTAAGGCTAGAAAGCTGGAGCCTTCTGGTTTCCTAGTAGACTATTATTTTTCTTTACTAGACTCGAAGACTTAGGAAATAATTTTCTCACTTATCTCATAGTACTCTCACAACTTCCTTGAATCCAGGTTTTCACTCCTTCCTATTAGTTTACTTAATGCTAAGCATCACCCACCCATAATATGATCCTAGAGTTCTAGGGAGCTGTTTTATTTTCTTTTTTTATCATCTCATTTCTGAGTCTGTGTTATACCTAAAATTGTTTTTGGAAGTGACAGAAATCTTAAATGTCATATATGTATTTTCTTTAGAATTTTGCTAATATTAACCTGTTTTTTTTTTTTTAAACTGCAAGGACAAAGTGTTTCTTATTTTATTTACAGATACATATTGCATTTTTAAAAAATTATGTGTTTTTTAATTTCTAAGTGATATAGGCATGTGGTTTTAATTTTATTGATAACACAAAACTTATTTTGTCAGGTTTTTAAATTCAAATTGGGTAAAAATGAGGGCTGTCAAAAATATAGTTAATTGCAGTTTTTTAGAGCTCTTTCATGGGGCAATTACGTTTTTTAAAAAGAAAGCTTTTCTAATTAAGATTATACTGACCATAATATTTTATTCTCTTTAACAGAGAAAAATTTTAACTTTTAAAGAGGATTTTGTATTTTGGGGAACACTTCAAAATAAATGAAATTCATTATAAATTCATTGAACATTAATACATAAATTTTGGTGCTTCATTTGACTCTAACAGTATTTAAAAAATAACTATCAAGGACAACAAATAGGTTCAGTTATAATGCCCACCCTGATTTCTACTGGAAAGTTATGTTTAAATTATGAGGCTCAGTAGGGGGAAAGGGTGGTATGATTAATTAGTGATGTCTGCCATGGGCATGATAATGGGTGTATAGCACACCAGCCATGTACTCTTTTTATCCATACCAAGCTGCTTACATTCTTTGCTATCATAATAGTTTTCAGTAACCTTTTTTTTAGGTAAAATTTTTATGGAACTTGTGTCATTTTATGTTATTCTATTGAGTGTAGTAATTACATCTAATTCAGTGTTTTTATATTCCCAATTCTCAAGTTGACTGAACTTGAGAAATTGACTATAGTTTTAATGCTAGGTATGTGTGGTAAATCAAACACATTCTTAGGAATATGTTGCTTAGAAAATTTAGCTCATGTCTTTCCTTTAATTTCTCTGAATCCATTTCTGGTCTTTTTTCCTGCAGAATTCCTTTTCCTATCTATTTAAAGGTTTCAGCTTAAAGACACCTGTTTTTGTTCAAAATGGTCAGTAAATGGTTGAAAGAATTTTTTTTTTTTTTAATAGAACAGACTGTACAAATAGATTGCAGACTTCTCAAGGTCACTGGCCTTGACAATATCTTAGAATTTTCTTCTTTGCCACCCCTAGTTCAGGGCCACACATCTTGTGAGCATTCTTAATATTAGTGGACAAAAGACACTAGACTTTCTTTTTAATGTTGCAAGAATTTAAAGGATTTGGAAGAAGTGTCCTTTTAATGTAAAGTTGTGGGTAAATAAATTTTTATAAAATGATAAATGTAAATTATTCAAGGGACCATACGTATAAAAAGTAGGAGAAAAATTCTCTTAAAACTGTAAATAACTTCCTAAATAAGGGGTCTTTATCTAGGGTTCGTGAATTCCCTGTAAATAGAGGGGAGTTATAGATGGACTTTAATGGGCATGTGAAGTTTTACATGTATAGGCATACTTGCATTTTTGGAGAGGCTTTTGAATTCTTAAAGGTGTTTTTCAAAAAGCTTTGAAACTGCAGTTGTAAGTTATGTGCTTTGTAAATTAGCACACAGGGCTGGTGTGCCTTGTAAACTCTATTCGAGTTTAATTTTTGGAGTACATTTATGATTAATTATGGGATTATAAGTACTCTGATATCCTTGTCTTGCGAAATATTGAAGAATTAAACCTTAAGTTTTCTGCTAAAAGTTTTTATTAATGATTCACAAATTTGGTCATCTAATTGGAAATAATAGCTTGTGAGGAGCCACAATTTATACAGTACTAATGGGAAATTATTTTTAGATGACATAAGAATTGTATACCAGTTAGGACCTCAATCTTGAATACAAATGTAATGTGAAATTTATTATATGGTAGATTTGTCGTGGACTTTTACAAGGATTTACTGTAAGAAGTCCTATTTATACAGCAGGCACTCAATCCCTGAATGAATCAGGTGCCACCAAGGCCTCATGAAATGGTTTCAGCAGTAGCCCTAGTTGTTGGTCAGAGCTGAGGATCGTGTTATAGTGTGTTTGCATGAGCGATCCATACTGTGGCTTACCTTTGAGGGCCTGGGGTTTTGTAAATAATGGTTTCTATATAAGGACAACTATTCTTGAAATGATTATTTGTGATCCTTTAGATAATAAACCTTAACTATGATGGTAGGCTTGATTAATATCTATAAATGTGTTCACTTTGGAATTTACTATGTTTGTAAAACTGTCCTCAATATTAACTTCTTTCCAGTTGATTTTAATTCCTTTCCAATTGAAACCACTGTACGAGAGCAGCATGTGCTTTCAAAAGTAGCCATGTAAGGCACACAGTAGCCAGAGCCTACCTAGGGTTTCGAGTCAGAAAGATCTGGATTCGAATACAGACTTACCACTTCAGTGAATTGCTTAGTTATTTAAACTCTTTAAAACAGGGAAGTGGGGAAAATACTTAAAGGATATCTTAAGATTTAATTAAGACAATATGAAAAAGTACCTGACAAAGTGGCACTTATAAAAGGAGACTTAGAGGAAGTGTTAATGTTGACTTCCTTCATGTAATAAGAATTCTCTACAGTTTTCAACTCAACACTTCTTTCAGGGAATATAACTAATATTAGCTATATAGTTATTGGGAGCTTCAAATTACCTATCTCCTTTCATCCTCCCCACTGTCTTTTGAGCTAAGTGGTATTTTTACCTATTTTGCGGAAGAAGTTGAGATTTAAAGATGTTACGCAGATTTGGCCAACGTTAAAGCAGCTAAGGAGTGACCAAACTCAGATTCAAACCTAGATTTGTCTTACTCCAAATGTGTTCCTTTTCTGCCATGCCTAGTTTCCCTGAAGACATTAGAAGGGATGTTCTCTACTCCTGAGAAGGGAAGAGTGACAATGTTTAAAAAGTCTAGTCCAGTGATAACTTTTAAATTAAGATAACTCATTTGTCTCATTTCAAATTAATTATGATAGGCATGGTATGGGGGCAGAGTCTTCATCTTGTGTTTTAGAAGAAAAGAAGTTGCCTAGGAGTGCAAGGATGGATTTATATATATTAAGACAGGAGTGCCCAATCACTTTTTCCTTTGCACCTTGAAATGGCTCAGCTGTAAACAACTCCTGACTTCTGAGGTTATTTAACAGAAGGGGCAAGTAGCTATAGAAAGACTGCTTATGTATATGTGCTTATTTGCAGGGTGGGGGAGTTCCCATGTCTCTTTTCACTTTTTAATAGTCCACAGTCTGCTGCCTCTGAATCTGACCTGTTCCCTCAGTTGTTGATAGGAGAAAAATTACTTTGCAAGGTTAAGAGAATAAACAGTGAAGGCTAAATAATAGTTCTTGATGCTATTTGTTTTTTGGTAGAAGTGGTGAAGTTCATTTGGCTTTTCAAGTTTTTTGTGGGAGACTGTTAATACCAATTAGCCTTAACATAGTGTCTAAGTTGAAACTGACCTGGAGCAGAGAAGGATTCATTCAGCAAAAAGCTAGCAAACTTTGTTTTCTTAAATGTGTGGAATTGCCTTTTTATGCTTGTCCTTGAATTTAAAAGTTTCTATGGTCATAATATAGACAGTAATATAATATATGGGCATTATATAGCATGTAATAGACTCTTTTCAGACTGTTTTATAGAATAGGCTCTGAAACAAAAAGAAGCCTGATGGGCTAGATGTTTTATAGAGAAGAACGGTCTTAACAATAAATGTATGAAGTTCCTTTAGTGATTTG